GCGTCAATGAAGTGTTCGACACATGCAGAGACTACTGCTGTCGGAATTGCGTCAAATGTTTACGAACAGCTTCCACTTAGAGCGATATGTCGTGTTACGCGTATCACTCCGCAAAACAAATGGCACGAATCTTCGCACGACGAGAGTATAGTTGTCGCGATTTGTACGTCGTTTACGAAAACGTCTGTCACGTTTTCGCGCAGAGAAAATAAGCGCGATGCGTGTCTTTCGAGTACTAATATGAGATAAAAATATTTCCAAGTGAATAATTTCGAGAAGGAGACTATTTCAAGAATATTCTTTGAATATTAAGAAATTATATTCTAAAAAATATTATGAAAAATATTCTTTGGGTATCAGGAAATTATATTCTGATAAATATTCGGAAAATAATTTCTTGGCGCAACAATATTTCTCAAAAATATGTTTTCTGATAACTAGAATATATTTTCTTCGATATTTCTGATAATATTTCGAAAATATTCTAAGAATATTTCATGAAAAAATTAAAATATCCCTTAGAATATTTTCTCAGAGAATATTCCGATAGCATTTCCCTCAAGTCACGTTGCTTCCGCGAATTTGCGCGGTATGCGTGCGATATTCCATTATGAGTTCTAAAACTAGTGCAGAAGTAAAACGATCTGATACAAATGTGACTGGGCGTAAGTTCATACGGCGGATCTAAATAAACTGTTGCGCAACGCGGAATAAAATACTTGCTGATAGTCGAATTATGAATATCAGTCTAATCTTCTGTTCACACATAGCATTCCGCACATAGCGCGCAGACACTGCATTTTGCAACTCGTGAATTTTCAACGCCACCAGCTGGCAAGCTGAATGCGTAGTGTCGTAACGATGTATGTATCTACGTTGTCTCGAAGCGAATTGATCGTTTAATACGCCGGCCGTAACTTTTACGAGCATGGTTAAGCACAGGCGCACTGTGCTACTCGTATCGTTAAAATCGTTATCTGCAACCGAGAACGATCTTGCCCGCGCAATATCGCCGTCAATCGCGCATTTCCTCCCTCTAATTGACAACAAATGCTTCCGTTTGCTATTCTCTTACCGTCAAAACACTTTCAAGATTCATTCAAAGTATCGAACGAGAAAAATCTCAAGTACCCATCAGGAAAAATCCTCGATGTATCCTATCAATTATGTTGTTGCCAACAATCATTGTCAAATATATTGAGAGAGAAAAAAGACATCTACTATATTCAAATTCAATTTTTTTCTACATAACTTGAATAATTCATAGTTAAAATTTTAAAATAAATGTTAACTGGATCTCTCTCTTTTTCCTTGTGCGAGTTAACCACCTCTAATTTTGTCGAACAGGCTAGTCGATCGGATTTACATTTATTCAGTATCGTGAAACAATCAGAGCAATTATCGTTATCAGAGCAATTACGCCACGGGGTAGAGAGATAGAGCAATGAATTATCGATGCAAACTCGAAAGTAATTGGCGTACCTTTGTCGGTGCGCACGAGAGGGACGACTTAATCGAGATAGAAATGATAGATACGATCAAAAGCGGAACGATCCCATGTAGAGAGAGAGAGAGAGAGAGCTCGCGAAGCAAGAGGTAACATGGGCGAGAGACAAATTTTACGCGGCGCAAAAACGTCACACTGACTGGCTGGCTTCTTTATCGTTGCGCGAATGCTTTGGGCCGTTTGGCGAAGCTCAACGGCGCGCACTCATCGATTATCGATGAAGGTTTCTGTCACAAGAAAAGGACAAAGGTAATTCAAATTGCGGTTACATTGAACAACGAAAGTCATGATCGACTAGTAAATTTCCACGCTATCTATCGATCGTATCGTGCACATATGCAGGATAGCTCGGAATTATCGCGTATCCTTTTTTAGCTTCTGATTCTGTGGTAAAATTGAATTTTTCCATTTTTCTTCGACGAAAGCTCATCCGGACTATATTATTTACACCGCAAATTTACTATGTCTGACATAAAATGCCTTAGAGCGCAATTAAATCTTAAATTAAATTTGTGCCAAGGAAAAGTCCGCGGTTGAAATAAATTGCGAGACGAGGTTCCGTTATCTAGTTTCCTTGAGATCTTGCTTCATTGAAACTTTTTCATTTTTAACGTTAAGTAACGCACCATTCAAAGAACTACCGATTCCCTTAACTTATCTTCCAGCACATTTATGTTCGAAAGAACATTCAGTGATTCTGGAACTCCTGCATAATCGTCTGTTGCTCTTCTCGTCCCTTCTCACGGCACCCTTTCTTTATTCCAGTCAAATCGTTAGAAAATTATAAACGTTCGTTTGCAAAAGCAAGGTCAGTTTAACGATAATGGTAACGAATATTTCATCGGTATTTAATCGATTATCATACATTTTCGACAAATCACCGAAAAGAAAACATTGTTAAAACGAGATTCCGCGTGCTATGGGGCCGAAAAACGCCGCCGTCCTAAAATTTACATTTTCCTGTATAATTCGAGCTTGCTGACTCAACAAAGCGGCCGACTCCCCATCCCGGGATCCGATTAATCACTATGGAACCTCATTACACGAGCTATTAGCCCCGTAACGATGCTGACGCAGTATAAAAGTACAAAAGGCACTCGTGCTCCAACTACGCGATATTATGCGTGCCGACCGGCGAAAGAGTGCTTCATTGAAACTTTTTCATTTTTAACGTTAAGTAACGCACCATTCAAAGAACTACCGATTCCCTTAACTTATCTTCCAGCATTCATGTTCGAAAGAACATTCAGTGATTCTGGAACTCGTGCATAATCGTCTGTTGCTCTTCTCGTTCCTTCTCACGGCACCCTTTCTTTATTCCAGTCAAATCGTTAGAAAATTATAAACGTTCGTTTGCAAAAGCAAGGTCAGTTTAACGATAATGGTAACGAATATTTCATCGGTATTTAATCGATTATCATAAATTTTCGACAAATCACCGAAAAGAAAACATTGTTAAAACGAGATTCCGCGTGCTATGGGGCCGAAAAACGCCGCCGTCCTAAAATTTACATTTTCCTGTATAATTCGAGCTTGCTGACTCAACAAAGCGGCCGACTCCCCATCCCGGGATCCGATTAATCACTATGGAACCTCATTACACGAGCTATTAGCCCCGTAACGATGCTGACGCAGTATAAAAGTACAAAAGGCACTCGTGCTCCAACTACGCGATATTATGCGTGCCGACCGGCGAAAG